TTTGGGTACCAGCTTTGGAGAAAGGAGACTTTTGCCCCTTCCAAAACACCACAAACCTTTGCTTGTTTTGTGCTTTTATGTCATTCCCCTAAATGTCTCTCATGCAGAACCATGACAATCCCACAGAAGTGCACAGTGCAGTCCTGTAGCAACCCTGTCCTGCATCCTCTGGTTTATTTTGGGGTTTTAGAGCTTTTCCTTTCCCTTTTCCACCCAGCTCTGACCTTTCAGGAGTTACTTTGACCATGGGCATCCTTCTCTCCCTGCCTTTGGGTACCAGCTTTGGAGAAAGGAGATTTTGCCCCTTCCAAAACACCACAATCCTCTTTGCTTGTTTTATGGTTTGCCATCACTCCCCTAAACGTCTCTCATGCAGAACCATGACAATCCCACAGAAATGCACAGTGCAGTCCTGCAGCAACCCTGTCCTACATCCCTGGTTTATTTTAGGGTTTATTTTAGAGCTTTCCCTTTTCCACCCAGCCCTGACCTTTCTGGAGCTGCTTTGACCATGGGCATCCTTCTCTCCCTGCCTGTGGGTACCAGCTTTGGAGAAAGGAGACTTTTCCCCTTTGCTTGTTTTGTGCTTTTCCATCACTCCCCTAATTTTCTCTCATGCAAATCCCACAGATATCTCAATCCTGAGCTGGACACTGCTGGGATTCCTTAGGGAATCTCTCAGCCCTAATTCCAGGTGCTNCTCTCCCAGCGTGGCTCTGGCTCAGGAGGGGCTGATCCATCTCCTGGAGGGACCAGCCCGCTCAGAATGCACAGGGCAGTCCTGCAGCAGCCCTGTCCTGCATCCCCTGGTTTATTTTAGGGCTTTTCCTTTCCCTTTTCCACCCAGGAGCTGCTTTGACCATGGGCATCCTTCTCTCCCTGCCTTTGGGTACCAGCTTTGGGGGGAGACTTTGCCCCTTTCAAAACACCACAGAATTTTGCTTGTTTGATGGTTTGCCATCACTCCCCTAAACGTCTCTTAGCTTTGGAGGAGGACTTTGCTCCTTTCAGAACACCACAAATTTTTGCTTGTTTTGTGCTTTTCCATCACTCCCCTAAATGTCTCTCATGCAAAACCATGACAATCCCACTGTAGCAACCCTGTCCTGCATCCCCTGGTGTATTTGAGAGCTTTTCCTTTCCCTTTTCCACCCAGGAGCTGCTTTGACCATGGGCATCCTTCTCTCCCTGCTTTTGGGTACCGGCTTTGGAGAAAGGAGACTTTCCCCCTTCCAAAACACCACAAATCTTTGCTTGTTTTGTGCTTTTATGTCATTCCCCTAAATGTCTGTCATGCAGAACCATGACAATCCCACAGAAATGCACAGGGCAGTCCTGCAGCAACCCTGTCCTGCATCCCCTGGTTTATTTTAGGGTTTATTTTAGAGCTTTCCCTTTTCCACCCAGCCCTGACCTTTCAGGAGTTGCTTTGACCATGGGCATCCTTCTCTCCCTGCCTTTGGGTACCAGCTTTGGAGAAAGGAGACTTTGCCCCTTTGCTTGTTTTGTGCTTTTCCATCACTCCCCTAAACGTCTCTCATGCAAAACCATGACAATCCCACTGTAGCAACCCTGTCCTACATCCCTGGTTTATTTTAGGGTTTTAGAGCTTTTCCTTTCCCTTTTCCACCCAGCTCTGACCTTTCAGGAGTTACTTTGACCGTGGACATCCTTCTCTCCCTGCTTTGGGTACCAGCTTTGGAGAAAGGAGATTTTCCCCCTTCAAAACACCACAGAATTTTGCTTGTTTGATGGTTTGCCATCACTCCCCTAAATGTCTCTCATGCAAAACCATGACAATCCCACTGTAGCAACCCTGTCCTGCATCCCCTGGTTTATTTTGGGGTTTTAGAGCTTTTCCTTTCCCTTTTCCACCCAGGAGCTGCTTTGACCATGGGCATCCTTCTCTCCCTGCCTTTGGGTACCAGCTGTGGAGAAAGGAGATTTTGCCCCTTCCAAAACACCACAAACCTTTGCTTGTTTTGTGCTTTTATGTCATTCCCCTAAATGTCTGTCATGCAGAACCATGACAATCCCACAGAAATGCACAGGGCAGTCCTGTAGCAACCCTGTCCTGCATGTCCTGGTTTATTTTAGGGTTTATTTTAGAGCTTTCCCTTTTCCACCCAGCCCTGACCTTTCAGGAGTTACTTTGACCATGGGCATCCTTCTCTCCCTGCCTTTGGGTACCAGCTTTTTGGGGAGACTTTGCCCCTTTGCTTGTTTTGTGCTTTTCCATCACTCCCCCAATTTTCTCTCATGCAAATCCCACAGATATCTCAATCCTGAGC